GCTGTTCTCGTTCAGGCGGTTCTTGTTCAGGCTGTTCTTGTTTAGGCTGTTCTTGTTTAAGCTGTTCTTGTTTAGGCTGTTCTTGTCCAGTCTGTTCTTGTCCAGTCTGTTCTTGTTCAGGCTGTTCTTGTTCAGGCTGTTCTTGTTTAGGCTGTTCTTGTTTAAGCTGTTCTTGTCCAGGCTGTTTTTGTTCAGGCTGTTCTGGCTCAGGCTGTTCTTGTTTAGGCCGTATTTGGTTACGCTGTACTTTTCTCGGCTGTCCTTTCTTTTGTAGTTGATTTAACTGTACTTGTTCAGTATGTAACATGATTCTTGAAATCATCCCTTGTCTTTGACTTTGCTCTCGAATAATCTTGAAGATTTTGCAGTTGAGAATTGCTATGACAACAGTGGGAATTGCCAGCAATACGATGTTCAACCACTTCAGTTGCCTTACGTATTCACACTCAACTTTTCCTTTTCCCTTTTTAGTTTCATAGGTATAAATATACACAATTGGAAATTGAGCACCCGCTGTCAACCAATTAAAACATAGAACCGCTTTGATTCGTCGCGAAGTGACAATTGTTGCGTACTTCAAGGGCTTCGCAATGAAGACATATCTATCCACGGTGACCAGAAGTAACATTGTTAGCGAAATGAACATTGAAACATGAACGGTGGAACGTCCCGTTTTGCAAAACAGTTCGTTGTGTTCCTTTTTATAGAGGAAGAACCGAGAAATCTTTTTTGAATAGAGTGTTATACATACAAAGAGATCGGCCAATCCAAGATTTGCCAAGAGCCAGCTGCTGATAGTCTTTTCGTGGTTCAGAAATACGTTGTAAATGATGACTGCAGTGTTTGCTAACACTCCAGTTAGTAAGAGGAGGATATTAAGTATCACTAATATCGAGAGATGGATTGCACGCTGTGGAACTGGACTGTTTGAACTCGACGTATTCATTTTGCTTCGTTCAAAACAATAGCGTTTTCAAAACCGCGTATCTTAGAAGCGAATGAAAATGCATACGATCATGCATCGCAGCAGCTGTAATAGATAAAGTACATATATTATAATTCAATGAAATTATATTTCTATTGGCCAAAAAAAGCTATGATATATCAGCTTTGTCATGAGTTATGTTAAATGGTTTTTCATTGCACATGAAATGTCAATATATGCAAACGTGGATCAATAAATCTATCACTGATGAAGAATATTTTACCTTTATAGAATATTTGATTTCGGCAAAGATTGATGAGTTAACACACGGAAGCGCTTTAAGCCTCTATAACTACGACAAAACACTACTTTCCAACCGTGATATTATTCATTTCTATATTAATTTTATGCTATATTGCCGAATCATGGAACAGCGTGACATCAGAGTAACGTTATAATGTTCGCATGTCACTTGAACTGTTGAGTTGAGCGAGTTGAACATATACTTATACTATGTATAAGTATATTGCAATAACCGTATATATATAAATAATTAAGTATTGCAATAACTGTATATAGATAATTTTTAGATCTATATATAAATACATATATTCTTATAATAGTTTTAATATTCTTAGTGCATGAACCCTATTATACACTGTAATTTTATTCTTAGATGGACTTTAAATGTATGAAATTTTACAACGATGTAAACACATAATAATTTAGCTGTATCACGCTATTGCAATGTGTTCAATAAACCATGAATAATGAATAATAATACTAGTGGCAGAAATTTAAGTCCGTGTTTTCTGTATCATTGTTATGACAACAAGAAAAGACAAGACGTTGCAGTTTTCTATTTTTACGGAATTCGTATATTGTAGTTATAGATTGCCTTTTTTATACACCTAGCTATACATGTTCACAAACTGCATCAGCTGCATGTTATTCTTCAACCCTTCTTCATTTGAAAAATCCGACTCGTCACCTAAGTAGTCGCTCACTCATGCACATTCTGCGCAATTTTTATTTTCTGTACGTGTATCTATATATAACTGGTTCTTCAACTGAATTTTCAATGAGTAGGAGGAACTATATCACTTATAGATAACAATCCGATCTAAGCTTAATTTAATACGTCTCTCCTGAGTTGTAATTTAGGTAATACAGCTACAGTATACATAGTTTCATGATTAGTTTATCAGTTAGTCTTGCGCATAAAGTAGAAGCGAAATAATTTTCTGTAAGCTTTTCTGTACTTTCCATGTCTCAAGGCGTAGACGAAAGCATTGGCAATTGCGTTTATGCCAATCAATTCCAGAACAATACGACGCCCGATTCCCACTGAATTGGTGTTTTTGATTAAATTCAATGTTCTTATGATGAGATATGGAACGACACAACACGTCAACCCGACAAAGAGAATAGCGAAAGTCTTTATTATTTTTGATTCTCTTTTGAAAAGTCGTAGCCGAGATATGCTTTGTTTTGAATGAATTTGTTTAGGCTTGACAATTTCCAATTTTACTTTTGCTTGTACTTGTTTCTCTTCTTGTTCAGGCTCTTCTCTTTCAGGCTGTTCTTGTTCAGGCTGATCTTGTTCAGGCTGATCTTGTTCAGGCTGCTCTTGTTCAGGCTGTACTTGCTCTTGTAGTGTGTTTCGACGTTGTACATGTTCAAGCTCTAGTTGTTCAGACTGTCCTTGTTCGGACTGAACTTGTTTAGAATGTAACATGGTTCCTGAAGTCATCCGTTGTCTATGTTCTTGAATAATCTTGAACATTTTGTAGTTGAGAATTGCTATGACAACGACGGGAATTGCCAGCAATATGATATTCAACCACTCGAGCTGTTTTATATACTGGCATCTGATCGCATTTTTACCCCGTTTTTCTTTTTGCTCAGTATAAATATACACAATTGGAAATTGAGCACCCGCTGTCAACCAAATGAAACAGAGAACCGTCTTGATTCGTCGCGAAGTGACAATCGTTGCGTACTTCAAGGGCTTCGCAATGAAGACATATCTATCCACGGTGACCAGAAGTAACATTGTTAGCGAAATGAAGATGGAAACATGAACTGTGGAACGACCCGTTTTGCAAAATAGTTCGTTGTGTTCCTTTTCATATAGAAAAAACCGAGCTATCTTTTTCGAATAGATTGTTATACATACAAACAGATCGGCCAATCCAAGATTTGCCAAGAGCCAGCTGCTAATAGTCTTGTCGTGGTTCAGAAATATGTTGTAAATGATAACTGCAGTGTTTGCTAACACTCCAGTTAGTAAGAGGAGGATATTAAGTACCACTAATATCGAGAGATGGATTGCACGCTGTGGAACTGGACTGTTTGAACTTGACGTATTCATTTTGCTTCGTTCAAAACAATAGCGTTTTCAAAACCGTCTCTATGGCGAAAACGTTTGGTCATAGCAGCAACTATTTATAATTGTAATGATATAATTCGGTTGTGCCAAGAATTATGCTAATTTAACATGGAATGTCAATATATGCAAACGTGAGCAATTAATGTATCACAGATAAAGAATATTGTCCAAAGATTTTTCGTTATTTACGCTATTTTGAATTTTCATGGAACGATATGACATCACGCTATATTCGAACATATAATTATGTATGGCAAAAATTAAACTGTTTTCTGTATCATTGTCATGATAAATAAAAAGCGAAACAATAGAGGTCTGTCGTGCATTACAACAGTCATCTTCTGGAGAATGCAATTTATTACGAAATGCTGAGGTGCCCAAAAATATTTCCCACAGCATACATCACTTTACTTGGACGATGAAATAATTAAATTTAGTAAATTTTCCGGCTTTTTGCAATACTTATTGATTACTTGTTTCACGCTTGGCACCTCATGGATGGATTAGAGTAGTGCGTCATGACTTTAAATATTGATTTACTTTACTTTAAAACGCTACGCTAAGCTTCTTTTAACCTAAAGAATAAGCTTCCTGTAAGTTATCGTTCAAAAACGTGTGCAAAACCCCTTTAACCTTCACCGTTATAAATTATTCTACTTGACTGCCACGTGTAAAAAATGTTTCAGATAACCCTCGCTATAAGAGGAAGCCCACTGAAAATCATCGAAACTCAAAACAGTCTAAACTTTGGTGTTCATTGACTGTGAAAACAATCGATTTTTAAAGAAATGAAAATTTATAACGTCAGTTTGAAGAAATCTGCATAGCGGAACTAAGCCTAAGGTATATCGGTAACGTTTTCGAGCGTTTTCACATTCGTTTTCATGCTAAAACGGTTTCAAACACCGTCAATTTACAATAGACGTTGAAGGTAATTTAAACATATTAGGCACATTTTCCCTTGAATCGTGTGGAAGGGCGTCTGAACAATAAAATAGACAAAAGTGATTTTGAAAACGCTTAAAAATGACGCTCGTTGTGCACATAACCTAAATCGTGAGGCTCGCGATTAGGCTGACTACACAAAAGTAAAAAAATAGAAAGTATATTTATAGCCAGAGGCAAGAGGGCGTTAAATGTTAAAAAACGTTTTATTAATTGTTTTAAGCTAGATAATTTAAAAACGATCCCTTATTTCGCCAAGAGATAAGGCATAAATATATAATGAGTTATTAATTTATAACATATACATTCTGAGACGTTTAGAAATAAATTTAAAATGTCAACGATTAATGAGTTTTGTAAGTAAGTTACCGAGACCGAGGGAAACAAGTGATTTAATCACCGGCGGGGCGCGTAGTTAATCTAAGCTGGATAACAACTGCGGTAGATCAAAGAAAACGCGGGAGATAATAATAAACTAAGAATATTTAGGCCCCTTCTTTATAATTAAGTTGCACTGGGGATCTGATAGAGTGATTCTATGGATTACCTTTTGGCCATGTGTCCCTAATGTTTTTGCGCCCTTCAGCGACACTGACCCATAACAAACGACCAAGAGGGAATTTCGCTTTAGACCAATCAGCAAGTTTGTTTACAGTTAAAACCCAATCAGAATGCATAAATTTTAATAAAAAGTACAATATGTACCATTTTAAAATCTAAGCATTCTGATTGGCGTTGCCTAAAAAATGTAAACAAATATGGCGATATTTATCTAAAACGAAATTTCTCCGTGTTTAACAAACGACGACTGAACTGAACTACCTTAATTTATTTGGTATTTTACTATAATTTACATTTTACAAATCACCCTAAATCGGGCAGGGCAATTAGTACAGTTCGTATGTTACAAAAGAATTAAACTATTTACAAAATAATATTTATCAATCTCTTTCTGTCCTGTTTTACATATTACATACTCGCTCCATTTGATACTCTGGATCCCCGAGGATCGGTGGAAATTACGTGGCTGTCCAAGCGTCGCTAATCCAACTTGTCCTTTTGGGATATGTCATGTTGATATTCTATTCTCATTATTAAAAAGAGGAGGTCAAGACGTCACAATATCACATATTTCAAACAGGGTCGGCTGTCGGATGATCTTGAAATTGCCATTGTGCTACGGAGCCGCACAGGTGAGATTATACCACCATAAGTGTATCTTGAGTCGGTACTTGTGATTTTTTGCCCACAAAAATATTAACTTTGTTGTTAACTTGCAAAGACCAATCTATGCAGTCCTGACAAACACAAGCGACGTTTTTGATGCCAAGTGTGGGTGACACGATGACGTCAGCTATGCGTGGCGTCAGATGGCGCCAACTTCTTTGAACTTCCACTTAGGAAAAATACGGAACGGATTTTTCTTTGCTGAAGTTGAACTTCTGGTTAGCGTTCTCTCTTCTGCGATTTCAAAAGGCGATCGGGGAGGTGTTGAAGAGGCCTGGGATTAGCTTGCTGCCACGTGGCGTTCAGAGGATCTGGGAGCGAGCCGTTCCTCCTGGCTGTCCGCGCAACTTTGTTACATTGAATTTATTCTGTACAAAATTATTTTCGCTCCCCCGAACGTCATGTAAGTAGCATAAAATGTATAACTGAACACATCAGAGCTAAAACAGCGGAATGGGGAATAGATACCGCGGAATTCTGTTGTTCGACGACTAAACAAAATTAAAATTGAGGCCAGTGTTAAAAACAATCCTTCATAACCAGCCTCACTCGTGGTCATGCACACGGTTGTCTCATTATGAACAGCCGAGCACGCTCAAGAGTATACTCTTATTACTCTAGTTGACTCGTTCCGAACTAGTGGCCTGAACTTTGAAGACCGTATTCAGTTACAATTTACATATACCATAACATGGCGGACAGAAGTTTGCAAAGGATGGAGTTGCTTTTACCTGGTTGACAAGGAATACTCGAGCAATTCCAAGATCTGTACTCACATATGCTGTGGAATAAATAATCCATAACAATTAATCAAGTATGAGAGCATTTCCTAATGTAAAAAATATTTCATGATCGGAGTCACTCTCCAGGTAGACTACGGAGTTTTGTTGTAAAAAACACATGTGTACATTTAATGACCTCTTTCACTCGGAGATGTTGTCTCACTACCTGTGCTGTGTAAGTGTAAGTGTAAGTGTGTTTCGACTCTCCGCTCCTTTACATCACAGAGCGAAAACAAATTCAAATTGAATATGACTTACCATCGTTTGCATCCATTAAGTAAAACTAACACATATCCATCGTCATAAAGCTTGTCTCTATAACGACATTGTCCTAAATGAGGAAGAGTCAGAGTTTAGTTGTAATCCATTTCCCTTTTCATAACATAAATTTCATACATCAACGTCTTACCGGGGGGGCATTGTCTGTTCGTACAAATCCAGTCCCCCTTCACACATTTGCTAGAAAAAGCGAAAGAAAATAGATTAGATTCAACCTCCTTTTCGTTGAATCAATTTTCATGATAAAAGACGCATAGATACTAGCATTTTAGCAACAGTGAATTGTTCTTGTCGTAGAGAGATATAGTCTACCAGACAGGGTATTCGATGTCAGGTGATAACAAATAATGGGAATGTCGCAATTAATCTATGTACGTTTTTTCACACCCGCGCGAATTTTTATCTATTTTTAAACAGCGCAAACTCGAGCTCGACCCGTTCGCGATTTTTTAATCTAAGTTTGTTCAAGTGTAAATAGGCTTATAGATCAACCCAGAATGAGACTAATTTGGAAACAAGGTTCAAACTATGATCTATTTCATATGACCCCGTTTAACGGAATTATTTTTTATGCGAAAGGTCAATGATTTCGCGAAATTGGTGTAAATTTACAAGATATACACAATCGAAAGAATATAAATTCTCAAGTGCGCTAGTCGTTTAATATTACTCCCCATGATGACCAGTAAGTCTAATAGTCTCGGCATGACATCGCACACCTTTCGGCTTTCTCCGGTAACATTTTAAGATTTATATTTAATGCATGTCAAAATGATCCTGGCGAAAATATTGTCTCATCAGAAATAACACAAGTTCATGCAGAAAACACAGGAAATCAGGCTTACCACTCGTTGCAGCCATCTCCCGCCCGATCCTTCATACCTTCTTTGTATACTTTATTGGGACCGACTATACAACCTTGAGATGGAAATGTTATCGTTTAAAACTTTAAAGATAGGAGTTTACAAAAAAATAACTTGGAGGAATGTGACTATACGGAATTTCACAGACTTGAGGGCACACCTCATCCATCACACCATGACCGTTTTCATAAAAACTAAAAATAGTGATCCCAAAACTTTTCTTACCCAGGGTCATCGGTAAAAGAGTGTTCTTCGCCTTGTGTTTGCTGTTATTTTTTGATCCTCAAAAAATAAAGAAAAACAGGTGAGATTACTATCTCATAATCTTGATGTAAAACGGAAGAGATCTAATCAGAAAGCAAGATTGTTTTGCTAATTTCTGAATAGCCTAAAGTAAACAGTATACAGATTGCGAGAATAAATTGACCAATTATAGTAAAATAAACTAATAATTACTCTAATTACTATAATCTACGCGATTGAATCTGAATAAAGCACAGATAAATTAGAGGACAAAAAATAGCGTCGAACATAAAACAAACCATATAGACCATAGTATATTTTGTGAGAGTTCTTCCTGGATCGAACAAAATTAATTTCATCAACTTACTTCCTTTCTTGCCTGAACGATATTTTCCCACCCTCCTTCTGGGTTTGTTACATCGTTTGCGACATTTTGAATACCCTGAAAGTGTCAGGCAGCAATGATTGTTCCTGAACATCTCACAGTCGAGGTTGCTCGTGCAAATTTTTTTATGGCCATCTAGAAGAAGAAAAGGTACTTTTTTCAAAACCGTGAGCGCAAGACCTTGAAACGGCGACTGTCTTTAATTTTAGGCTGGATTTATTCGTCAAACGGTCTGATGATTCTAAAAAAATGCTGCTCTTCATGTTGTTATAATTTTTTAAACCAATTTGAGTCATGTTGTTATAATTTTTTAAACCAATTTGAGTCATGTTGTTATAATTTTTTAAACCTATTTGAGAAAATTGAAAGTGCCCCAAAAACGTCATCGTGAGAAAGGCTAATAGAAACTAAGTGAGAAGCAATTTAAAGCGCTCGAGGTGATTTTTGCTTGTGTTTACTGAATGCTTTTAGTGAAAGAGTATTCTATTGGAACCAAAAATAGTCAGCGTCAGAAACAAACAGTGATAATAAATTGCACTTAAGAAACACGAGTTGTTTCTTTCTTTTTTTTTTTGCCCTGGAGGCAAGTTTTCTTTTCAGATTCGGAGCATTTTACTTGTGGGCAAATAGAAAACATCGCAAATGAAAATTGTTCCCGCAGTAATGAATGTCTCCAAGTTTATCTAGGAAACGATTGTGTACAGCGTTTGTAGCAATTACAAAGGGACAAAGCCAGTGTCATGACAATAAAATCTCATTCACAATCACGCGAAGATGGCGGATGTACGTTTTATATAAAAAAAGACAAGATAAAAGCTTGTAATGACATGATATCTTTACACAAGGACGAACCCTTCTGCTTTTTGTCTGTCTCTCGAAGCTTATCAAATTTTTGAAAACAATTTCCGACTGGTTAAATTCCGGAAAAAGTTCCATATGCTACTTTCTTTTGTAATGGACGATTAACAAGAAAGCTCTTTCGTATAGGAACACCTAAGGCTGTGATAAACATGGCTGGATAGTTCAAACCATTGAAGAAAACAAAAGTTCTCGAAATGAGCCATATTTTAAGAACTTCTCCGCCCCCCGACGATACATTAATAGACGTTCTCCGTATAAGGATTTGTGTGGATGAAATATTTCGTTTGATGTTTTATCATCGGTTGTGATCTGCCCGAAAACATCACTAATGACACTAAAATTTTATCTGTGAAGTAAAAACTATTGTATTTTGCTATGGACTGCATGTTTGTATACATTGAGATAACTGATCCGGAGAGTTTTAGAGTTAAATCCAATCGAAGTATTAAATAGGAGTTATAAAGAGTTTTATGCCACCGTGACCGCCTGACCGGCTTTAGTCATCTTCAGGCGTCTATCCTTTTAGTTTTAGATGTTATCTTAGCTTTCCAAGCTGAATAAGTGTCCAAACTTTGTTGTACATTTGCAGGACTTACAGCGGCTTTCCACTTATGCTATTATCCTCACTACCAGGGGTTAATACCAAAGCCATGTAAGTGCAATCGGTTGAGAGCGGCAGACAGTATGTCGTGTAGAACTAATGGCGCGCGCACTCGGCGACTTTGTTTACCCAGCGGCGCCGTTTGAAACCGGGCATTTTTGCAGAGGCTGTGCATTTTCGAAGCTCCTATATCTTGATAACATCAAAATATTGAGTGAAATGTATTATCTAACATTGTTATTAAGTTTGAAGACACAATCGTGTTTGTCAGGATCGCGTATAGGCTATGCAGGCGTTAAGGCTTTTTCAAAACAACCAGAGGCAGACGCCAGCGCAACAGCATCTCAAATAACTTCGAATTCTTATCGTAATGGTGAATGACAACTACCTAAACTACACAAAATGCTGTCTATTTCATTTAATATATAAACTCTTCTGACAAAGGCCCTTATATTTAGAAACGCCGAGAAGTTTTTTTGGTCTATTTTAGGCAGCTGCAAGTAATACCATGCATGCACGTCATGCAGATACAAGGGATTTTCATGTTATCTAACAATAGATGATTCTGATTTGAACTAAATAAGATATTATCAAAGTAATTATTCGAAACAAGAAGTACAAGACTTTATCGAAGTGCATTTGAAAATCTTGACATCAATGCCTTTTTTTCAGTGATGAAAAATAACTTTCCTAAAACTGATTTTCTCATTTCTTCAAAATTCTCTTACGATAGCTCTAAATATGAAAGTGACTTTCCCGCCAATTTTAGATTTACCAGGACATTTGTCATAATTGAACTAAACCTATAAAAACCCGATCACAAATTGAAATTGCTATCAATCACAATATGAAATGTTTTTGATGATTAAAGTTAGTTACAAATAAGACTATTCTCGGACTAATTTATCAGACTGTGTATAAGAAAACTTAGCTATATAGCTAATAATGTAAACTTACATAATAATGTAATAAATATCTGGGGTCGGTTGTTCCAAAGGCATTTAGCTTAAACGGTGGATAATTTCAAAATGCTGAAATGTTCCAATGTAAATAGTTTAATTTTCAATGGAAGTACGTGCATATTTAAAAAGTGCACAAGATGCATGTTCAGTCATTAATTCACAAGATAAACACCTCTCGAACAACCGCCCTCTGAAGTATATAATATAAGAATAATAACGTGTAATTTACATCAATTTGATGTCTTAATGAAATTACCGAAGTATGCAATCGAATGTTCTTTGACGCGCTCTAGTAACGTTTGTTCAATAAAACCTTTTAGCTAATAATTCCATCACCTGAATGGCAATGTGCCTGTACATATTTTTAGAGCACCCAAAATGTAAATATCCCTGCCATGATTAGTAAACAAAGCCATCGTCCCCATTTTTCCGAACAGATAAAAATCAACCCTTAAGGCTTCACTTCTGTGCGTACATGTCCGTATACATAAAAAAACAACACGAGAGCAATCTCTAATTATAACAAGCTCCTGGTTTCAAACAAATTATAACAACAAATTATAACAGCGATAGCTGTTATTAAAAATGAATCTTTCATGTTCATGGACAGAGATAAACCGACATCTTTTTGTGTGTGTGCACTAGATATTGGCAACAGTTCAAAGTCTATGCGACCAAACAGTGTCAGCTATTTTATGCACACCATCATAATCACCACGCACTAAAAAATTTGAAAATGGTCTCGACATCATGTTATGTAAACTTATAAAGCTCAACAGGATATTAATATTGGTTGAAGGTCGATTTAATTGCGACCATATGTGCACAGATAAAGCGATAGATCAATTCGAACAAATATGACAACAATTAAAATAAACACTGCAAGGTGGGGACCCCTAATGAAATACGCCAATATTAAAACTTTACGCAAATAAATAGCGTGCGTAATAAGGAGATGATTAATTTTGGGCAGGCATGCATCTTTCACCCGTGTACTGAGATGCAATTTCAGCTAAATGCATGCATGGACGGTATAGCGAAAGTTTGATCATTTGTGTTAAGATATATTTCAAAGAACAAACGTTTTGTTTGGCATGCATGGTCGGTCCTTGAGACTTAAGAAGTGAGATGGTGCATGAATGCAGGGGTTTCGCAGACTGTCCTATATCAATTCATTGTGTTTCTGTGGTAAACTCGGGCCTATATATAACCTAAAATTTACAAAAACAACAACACTGTACCACAAATTCAATTATATACAATTCAAAACATGTACAAACACTTCACTTTACGCTCCTTAGTAGGCAACATTCATGTTGCAAAACACTATAGAGCTATTGATATTTCAAGCTAGTGAAAGAGTTCAACTTTAAAACTAAGCAAAAAGACTGTTAATGAATTAATGGTAATTCGATCATACCCTTCATATACGCGAGAAAAAAAAGCCTATTCACTTGTGCAGTTGAAATATAAGCGGTTATATTACTGACAAAATAAAAGTTCTAAATGACAAAGACAAGAATGATATAATTGTAAACACAAAGGCAACGAATGAGAAATGAACGATTAGTGGAGATACGAGTTAAAATGGTTTCAAGCAGCAGAACATTTTTGTCATTAAATAATCCTAATGGCTACGACCCAAAAATGAGCAATTATTTCGGCCAACAATACATATTTAGAATTCTCTTTTGCATGTGTGGTTAATGGTTTAAAGACAATCAAATATAGCAATGTTTAGGCGTAGCTGGGGGTCCATTTTCGCCAGACGATTATGGAAATGCAAACATTAGAAATAAACGCATTAATGGCTTTCACGTGCGAAACATTTATGTGAAAATTATCATATTACTTCATTACAACGGCGACAGTTGACATTCGTGCCTTAACCTGGAACATCGGTCTTGCATGAGCTATAGCTTCATTCCGATAAATTGCGCTTGTCGCTGTTAGCTTTTTCATAATAAGTAGTTTCGACCGCCTGGTTTAAAGAGCCGATACGTTTGCAACAACTATTCGCGTTTGGCGAAAAGAATGAGAGTTTGCGGAGTTTTAGTGCACACAGATGTTGCAAACGCTTGATTTGAATCTTCAGGCCTCTCGCGTGACCCCCACTGTCTGGAACCCCAACAAATCAATCGTGATATTGACTATAGCACATAGCACTATAAGTTGTTGCAACTTGCAGACGGTTGCAAACCAGAGAGCACCCTGCATTCATTACACGGCTTAACCTTAGGATACATATAGTTACATGGTCATTCGTATAGATCTGAACGGGGACGTTGGATGAAGACAGCAACGTTGGCATTCATTAATATTGTCCTTTGTCTATGCTTATAGGGGGGTAAATGGTTGGATAATTTCGAGATTTTAGCTACTATAGAAGTAACATTTAATCACAAAAAGAAAATCTTAATTGAAGTTGCACGTTTCTAATCTATTGCCTTCATTTCTGTCTCCTAGTCACACTAGACTATCGCCCGCTGGGACGTTTTTTGCCCATGTGATGTACGGGGAACACTCCATTTAAATTTGCAATTTGTCCCAGTAATATTCAACTTATTTGTCTGTAACACTAATGGGGAGGTTTAGTAAACGCGACGCGACATAAAAAAGAAAAAATCGTGAAAACAGTGTCGTGTGCCACGGTATGTTAAAACTAAGCTATTTAGCAAGCAGATCGTGTTGCATTTAAGACTTGCGGTATATGACACGGAAACGTAAAAGTAAAAACGGTTCTTTTTAACTGGGGCCAAAAACACAAAGTTATACTCGCAAGTATATATTAGGGATATACGCACGGGGCGATGATTGACTGGCGAGAAGGCGGTATTTGGAAAATATGTTTTGAACACTTATTTAATAAACTTATTTGTTATCGAAACCACGTCTTGTGCTTGACATGATACGTGTTACTTTCAGCTATTGACAGGTGTGAGAATTTAAACGAGAGGGAAAGCGCTGTAGCTCTGCACCAACGACTACAAATTTCATATTTTACTGAAGTGTTTTGTTGTTAAGACCAGGCTTGAAATGTTGCTAATGCATTTTTCACACGATTTTGTACAAGACATTGCAATACAATACACCCGGAGGGTTAAATTTGCAACGTATTGCGTGATATTCTTTGATCAATAAAGGCCGAAAGATCCATATATAGGAATCAACAATATTGGATCTATGAGATGAAATATTATATGAAATTTGAGCAATGATAAAAAAAACGTAGACCTAAAAAAATACGTGTAAAATGATGCGAATGAGCCTCGTCGTCCTAAGCTCCTCTTATTTAATAAGTAATCACTGCGTATCACGTCTAAAATATCCAACACATATACGTCCTACCATTTTGCGCATGCGCTAGTGCTCATTGTAGTTATATAACCTGTGACTTCTGGGCGAAAATTTTTAGAACTTTAAAACTTTTTTAGAATTAAAGGCGTTTAAGAGCCCTGTGTTTAAACACTACTGTAAAATTTCAATGAAATTTGAAGAAACTCGTAGGACAAATAACGTATCTTTGTCAAATATGTGACGGAATATTTCAAGCAGATATCCTTGAAACCCTTGAGGGAAAACCCGGAGTGCTTTTCCTGTTTGATTGGGTCACATTTAAGAAAAAAACACACTAAAATATTCACTTAAAAGTTCTTAATTTCCTAATTTCCAGAGTGATTATTGGATAATGTTCTCAAAACAAGAACGATTTCGAAATTGAAACATATTTTCGCGGAATCTTGCGCATTCGAGAAAGATCAATTGCGAGATTTTTCCATGTTTAAAAAAACTTCAAGAGAACACTTGCTGTTTTATATACACAAATATTTAGAGCCTAAGTGGCCTATCGTGCGCCACAGTGCCGCTTATGCGATCATGAATTCCGCCCAACATTCTCAACCTGATAAGGTATCTTTATGGAAATGGGGTATAAAGTCGATTGCTATTTACACAGGCTTTGTTCGAAACCCAGTTCGAACAATTTAACGTTGTTGTTCTGCCGTAAGTTTCCCAAAGCAACTGATAATGGCTTTATTTACATACATAAAAGTCCTTTTATCGTGAGCACAAAAGACACCGCAGGGTCGGGTCCTTTGAGGTGAATATTATTATGTAAATATCACTCGACAGCTGATGCTCGCATTCCCAAAAAAACACACATGTCGCCCGTTTGCGAATTTTTCACACGAAATATAACTTCAAGCACACAAGGGCTGCTCTCTCCCATCCAGAAAGTCGCAAACTTTGCGTTCGTATCTCAAGGTCGTTGGTTTTAGCGCCCCTGTGCAAAATGTTTTGCAAATTAACGGGAACAGTGTGTGGCGAATTCGTTCAATTTAAATGCACATTATTGACAGCGAATCTATACACTCGCCCATTAAATTGTATCGTGAAGCTATATTAGTCTTTAGAGGGACTAAATGGATATACATAACCTAAAAATTATCGGTAAAAAGGTTGTATAACACGATTGAATGTGTCAAAGTGTGACAATAACCTTACTCCAAATATATATATATGAACAAAGCGAATGTAGAGTTGCGAGCCGTGATCTTCTGAACTCGTCATCGCGCCTTCACAGATTGAAAAAGCCGCTCTCTGTCTCTCATAAAAAAACGCTGTAATCCTGCGACTTTACGAAGTTGCGATCGCGAAATACAGTTAGGGTGAAAACGCGTACTGGAGTCCGGAGTGCATTCCAAGCGGTATAAATGAAAATTTCTGGCCGATAAAGGCCAAAACAATTAACACCAACACGCCAAACGGCTACTCATGATGAATAATGTCAACAAGGCAACACGAGCGGTTCTGTACAACCCCATAATACAAGGCTGAAACACAACACTGACACTTTAATACTTTGAAATAAGTGGCAAATTAGTCCCAATCGCAAAGGGAATGTCCTAAATGTTCTGCTAGAAACCTTACTTGCACCACAGCAAAACGTTGCAACGATTTATTATATATTGTATTTTGTGTCTCGACATTTAGTGCATACATACGATATGTGTTCGAGGCACTCGTGGAAGAGCTACGTACGGCCAAAATAAATGACATTGGATGTGAGATAAATGAAACAACCGGTAATGCATGTGGCGAACATTTCCCCTGGGATATTTCCTGATACAAGTCATACAACCATAGAGAATCGACAGTTAATCCAATCTAATGTGGGCTAATGTGGCCCCATAAGGTTTAGGCAATGTCGCTTTAATATTGAGCTGTACGTTTTCAAAAGGCAAACCTATGACTGAGACGAATCAAGAGTAACTTGGAAGCGTTTTGTAAGGGTAAAAGTAACTGTATTCTTACCGGCAGACCTATTTCTGTTTGATGATAACTGCAACGTAGTTCGTGGCACGATGTAGTTTCCTTCGTCGACTTGCTGAGAGGCAATCGCCAGCACTAGTACGTGAATGAATACCAAAAGTACTCCATGAAATAGAATAACTGTTGCCCTATTCATGATTTCTTTCGTCAGGGCTGAGCCTTAATCCAAAGCTCCCACTTCGTTCGACCGCGGTCTGCTATTCGCCGAATGTCAAGTGCCTGACATGTCAGGCACTCTCCAGCATAAACACTGCTTATAATGTGCTTGACTGACTAATGCGTTTCAAGCTTTCGAAATAATTAATTAAGTGCGACGGTTGATGGGGTCATGGCAGATGTCAAAGGGGCCTTCGTATTTCAAGATGTACAACAGTTTAGCGTCTCGAAAATGTTACAATTACAACGCAGAAAGTTTATTTGTAATTCTTATTTCAACTATAAACACGAATTCCGATTAAAAATTAGTCAAAACGGAAGGGGAGGGGGGCTCGGAGCCTAAAGCTTTTCATATAAATCTGAATGCATACTATAGAAATAATTACAAACGTCATGAAACGTATTTCAACAGCATACAATAGGCTGTGCATTTAGGAACATGAAACCAGATATACACGAATTTGATCAGATATACAACAGATTCTAAAATGTGTTCCCCTGTGAATGATTGGAACATAAGACCAGCTTTTAGTCATCGATCCTACGATAAATGAGCAATTTTTCTTATCGCGTATTGGCGAGATGGATAGATTAGTTTGCGGAACATTTAATTGAGACAACCGTGTGAATTCGTTTTCGTTTAGTTTTTCTGGATTGCATAAATGTGTTCAATTGTCTGCCTATTGTAGCAATTACTTTAAGAATTTTCTAAAGTGTAGCAATGTATTGTTTTTCAAAAAAGGCTCAAAAGTGTATTTGTACTTTTGCGCAGATGTGTACTGTAATATGGAATATGATTGACATGAACAAGCATCTTTGAGAGACTAATTAAATATATTGCATCTTTTGCTTTTGCACGACTTTAATGAATAAAAGGAGATTTAACACGTGGCAACTTTTCATGCAAATTGGAACGCTATTTTATTTAAGTGCCACGTAAATGTGCGAAGGAAATTGGCAGAAAAATGGAAACGGAAAAATTGTATTGCTGCTGATTCGCTTTTTAATTTGCACAGCTCGGTCAAACTGAAGTATCGAGTACGTTAATAACACCAAGTGATGATTGAAAACGAAAATATCGGCGAGTGAAACTAGAGCTAAGCTTTTTGTTTTGAACAGTTTATCTTGAACAGATTTCGTTTTTTTTCCCCGGCATAGGAACTGATTAATTTGATAGGACAGATGGTCAATTTTGTGAAATGCCGTCCTTTTTTTGGCTCTATAAACGTTTCGCGGCAAACGTCTCGTTCTAGGAGAATCACCACGAAAGTGAAACAGCCCGTTCTGCGGGCAAAAATCCAGCTTCGACTCTCATATAAACAAACCGTTTAAACGTGCAAGTGCTTCCGAACGTCCTGTAGTTGAAATAATGGTCAGAAAAATGGCGTATGGGTCAGCCCTTCACATTTTATTCGCTATTACATTACTCCTAACTGTGGGCTAACTAACGAGGCCTTTTTAGACCTTGGCTTGCGATGTAATCGGTCGCAACATTCACGAACCAAATCAGGGAGGATGTGAACTTTTAAGTACTACCACATCGCTTGCTTCTTTATTTCCTAACTTTCCCTAGTTAAATTTTTGCGGTGTTAAGACCCGGTTTTTATTCGTGCAAGACGAATTCGAAGGCCCTCGTCGTTTGCACGGCAAAAGGCACCGCGTAAACGTATAGTTTGAGTGGTCTTTGAGAATAAATTCATATAATAACAAGTAAGTGAAAGCACCCTAGAAACTTTGCACTAATGCGTTTGTATATAATTTTGCGTGTATTACCATGATCGGTACAAAATCAATGTGGACAGTAGAAATGAATAAATCAGAATAATATCCACTCTTATAACACCGTTCTAATTGCTTCGAGAATAGATTGGCTGTCTCAATACCATGTTTATTATATTGACTTTTTATATTTCTTTTCATTTGCCCAGAGCAATCCAATGACATATCCTGTAATGTGCCATTAATTGCCTTTGTAATTTTTCTTTTCACGAGTAAAGAATACCTCTTCGTTCTTGAAAACACTTTAACTTCGATATTGAAGGTTATTGAGTTATTAAACTTTGCCATAAATGAACATTTTTTTCACTCGATAAGCGATCAATTGCTGTATGCATTAATTGCAATTTGCTTAGCGACTTTGACATGCGCGTTGGTCACCAAGTTTCTCAGTCTGAGAAGCTCGGTCAGTAGCGGTTCTGAACGACCGCCGCAATTTTCTTTTGGTGAAGTCTTTTTGAAGTCCAAAAGTTATAGGTAATCATATTCCTTGGTGCCCCGACTTCGCCTGTGGAAATTTTTTCACAAGTTATAATTTGCATTACAGACATTACAAATAATCTTAGATGCCTCATTTACACTCGGCTACTAATCAATGCCGCTCAGCGTAAGGTGAACCTCTTTCATCGAAACACTGTTCGCATAATGTCTACACGGCAAAGGCTCTTTTGGCCAAATATTATTCCCAGCGAAGGAAGAAACAAGCAAAATTAGAAATCATTATTCACAAATGTTGACAGACGGGAAAATAATAAATCAACAGACACGAGTTTGGGCAGTTTTGACAGCCTAAGCTGTGTTTATATTGCCACAATATTGCAAATACGATTCAAGACAAAATTGGATCTGGTGCATAAAAAACATGTTTCACTGTGGTTGGGGGACTGTGATTATAGCATGCAGTGCCCAAACTCCTGCGACGGAGCAGAAGAGACTCGCCCGAATCTTTGATCTGAAAATCACGCATTTTTGACACGATTTGTAATGACAGTTTTCTGATTCGCGAAGGAGCAACTCGTTCTGCCATTATGCCTAAATCCCTTAATATAGTTGCGATGGGGCAGCTGTGGTTGGTAGAGTTTAATTTGCCTAAAACGATATGGAGTGACCGCAAATCTGAGATCATTCACATGCTATCAAAAACGAGAGCGTGCAGAGGGTGATGGGATAAACAGATATTGCAAAACTAGCACTGACTGAATGCAACTGGAGGAACTAGGAAGCGCCTGTAATGTGCTCTATTCTGGAACAATGAATATAGTTTTTTAACCAAGTTTTTTTTCTGAGTTTTAAGACGAAATACTTGATGTCAGACGTTCGGTTGTGTGTCAAATTAAAGCTATTGAAAAGTTATATTTGGTGTAGAACAACCGACAAAAAGTGGGAGTCAAGTCAAACAAACCGTTTGTTTCCATTTTGAACTTCACTATTTTTTAAAATACGACCTGCTGATGTGTTCGTTACGCTTCTAAATTAATATGAACTAGAGTTTATGTTAAGAAAAAATAAGAAACATGCGAAATTTAGGCAATTTTCACATCAGAGGGCTGACGGCCCTCACTTGTTATGAGCAGAACCTATGCGCAGAACGGACTTGACTTCCACTTTAAGCTGACACCTCGAAATTTCTACACGACATATAACTTTTTAATACCTTTAACTTCATATACGGCTCGACATTTGGCGTCAAGTATTTCAGCTCAAAACTCAGAAAAAGTAAAAAGCACTGGCTTCAATTTCCTCCCCCTGTTCCAGTTTCGTTCCAGTTTGTTTACAGTTCAGTGACTATAAGCTAACGTCTCAAAAAATTGTTATCAGAAAGTGGAGGCCAAGACAGCGCAAATTGAAGCTATTCTGCTAACTAAATTGAAGCTATTCTTTTAGCTTGGGTAAGCTAGTTAGGATTATATTCGTGGATTCAATACTTAGAATTACTGCAAAATAAATGAGGCGGATCCCCACGGTAGTAGTAGCTTTAAAGCCAAAAAGATACATTAATATTTCTGATTATTTTGAATTGTTAACAATGCAAACCAAAATTACGAATATAATGCCCCCTCGCAATTTTTTCTGGAGGGCTATATCACCCCTAGCCCCCTACCCCTCCGGGATTCGCCGCCTATGGCTTATTATGCATTTCCTTTATAGAATGCCCTAACAGGGATACAAGATTTTATCAGCTCTTTTGATTTAAAATAACCTATAGTTATATTTCAAAGCGAGTGAAAGCAGCATAACTGCATCAAACTTTTCAGATGATCACTTCATTCGAAATTCGAATTTTGCTGTTTGAAATAAATTGACTTACTATTGATTCAGAGAGTGAAATACATACATTGGAATACTACACTGCATGTGCTGCCCGGGTGAATTGACCATAATCTAATTCAAGTACAGTACTATGGTACAGAGCATGCAAAATGAAAAAACGCAAACAATGAACAGACATGAAAAACTGCATATCAACTCGTTTGAAAAGTGTTTTCCAACAACATACAACGATGTGTGTATACTTTTTTATGAATGTTTGTGCTACATTTTTACTTTCTATTCTTTAACTTAATAGATATAATAATTTACTATCATTACTGTCATGTAAACAATCTAACAATGTTTACGGCTCATTCTAAGCTCTTAGCATAACAATACTTGGTGCCCAACATTGTAGAAAAGCTCAATCTTTAAAACTATATTTAAGGCCATTTATAAAAACAAATAATTTTGAAGAGGATCATGAACAACTATTCAAATTTATAGAAAGGCATTGTTGAATTTTCGAAAATGCACTTCACTTAGTGTTATCCACTTGCAACATACGTTACAGTGGAAAATCACAGTAAACTGGTAAAACGGTAATCTAACTAAAAGGTTGAAAACATTTGTTTTTATAAAATTGACCTCGGTTATGGAAACCGTATCTTTCCGTAGCATATAATTTAAACCCACTATAGTTTAGTCGAGTATCTCTATATTTCTATCACGGTATTTATGAAAACATATCCGTATTTTTGTGGTGATGGTGTAATTACGACTAAATCCAAGATGGCGACACCCGTGTCGATATTAACCCGAATAATGATGGCCCACTTAATAAATAATCAGTATATGTGTTGATCAAATTTCAGCCAAACATTTCTTGTGAAGCATAGACCATGTAGAGGAAGCCATCCTCGTCCTTCTCTTCACGATAAAGATCTAACATCGCTGTTGATAAACTTGCAAAACTTTTGTTGTTTACGATGAGGTAAAATGCTTGACTTGATTTTAGTTTCATTCGATTTCTGATGAAATGTAATTCGTTGGTTAGTAAGTGATTAATAAGATAGCACGTTACTTTTCCTATGGCTAAAACTTGCTGCATTAAAAGATTCAATCGAGAACTTAAGATTGTAACGGTAAATGAAGAATAACTAAACAAATACACTATGACTACGCTAAGTATGTTTCCCAGCAACACTTCCACAGTTACAAGCACAGCCGTCGCAGGACTCAAGGGAGTTGTTATCAATTTTCGCATGCTTAAGGCTAAATGGCGCCAAAAACAGTGGCCAAAGGTTAGACTTAGCGCCCACGCTATAGATAAAAGAAAGCCAGGTGTTCATCTTGGTGGTAAAAATGTCCCGCAAAATGTCCCATCTTGCTGGCAAGTGTTTATTGCGTGATATTTAACAGTTATTCTGCGAACTCGAGTCGTATATGAGCTGATAGCCGACGAGGCACCGAGAGTGAGCAGAATAACTGTTTTATTGTATACACAAACTTTGTCGCCCTTTCGGTGCATTTTGGTGTGCTATTATCATCTAAAGCTTGGATTTCTATTTCACTCAAACTCCCCAAATCTTTCGGCCATTTTGTTTACTTTCTCTACTAGACAGATATGAGCTAATATCTGTCTAGTAGCCAACCAATGAAATTGCAGCATACCTCATATCTGGCGCTTGTGTACCTTACTTGTATTAAAATTCGCGCAGTACTAGAATTCGCGCAGCGCTGAGTGCGCGATTTTTAGTACTGCGCGAAATATAATCCGCGCGAAAAGGTAATTATGGTGTAATATGAGACACTCATTGTCAATAATGCAAATCGGTTCATTTATTAACGCATAAACACATTTCACTTATGTTTTAAGTTGTCCTGGTAACATTAAAAGTCAAAAATATCTTCATCTTCATCCTGGACAATTTCAGTCGGGATATTGTCAGGTTCCACGTAGTATTCCTTCATGAATGCCTGCATTTTGCTGTAGATCCTCTGACTTGCATGGTTTTTCAGGACTGTAACGGTAATGGGAATCTCCAAGCCTCCCTGTGGTAATGGAGATCGACGGAATTTAATGTCACACACATTTGCTTCTATATTGCCCCCATATTCAATGAAGAACTTGCAAAATCGGGAGATCTCTCGAGGCAAATGTCCAACCAGTGATAATGGCTCAATTTTAGCCCCGTTTACACTGCACTCAATTTATTGGCACGGCACGGATAAAATTGGTTCCCTTACCCAATTTTATTAGTGTTCAGGCTACCAAAACAAAGGCCGAGCACAAATAAAATGGGCACGGGTACCCATTTTAGCCGTGCCGTGCCAATAAATTGAGTATCGTGTAAACGGGGCTCTTGCCTCTGATTTTGGTGAAAAGACCAATAGCATATGGGTCGAATAGGTTCCTTGATTCTGGCTTTACTGTTAACTGCTGGTTGATCCTTGGAGCCGTAATTTTTCTGTATTCATGAAAACCTCGTGATGCGCAAGCCAGGGAAAACGATGTCTCCTTGGTGCTCTGTTTCACTGAATCAGAGTCGTCTGTTTCTGAATCGTAGGTTTCTTGAAGTGAATCAAGTGCATAAATGCAGTTAGATGCATACTTTTCTTTCCCATTGAGATATTTGTTGATGAAAAGTGCTCATTATAAATGCGTTAATTGTTAATATAGTTCTATTAAACAAAGCAACAAGAACGAAGACGGAAAATTACTTGCGCGAATTTAAAGCTGCGCGAATAAGTCTCATCAAGGTGCGCGAAATTAAATCGCGCGAATTTAAAGCTGAGCGAAAATGAGTACCGCGCGAATTTTAATACAAGTAAGGTATATAATAATGCGTGATATTTGTCATTACGTCATTGTTTTTATGCTCTCTGCCGTGTGACCTGTCCAATTTTACTATTTCTTTTTGCATTTGCAGAGATAAAAATTAATTTAAACATAAATTTATTAATTTATATCAATTAAAAGCGAAGAAATTACTACAAAAACGGTAGAAATAGTAAAAAATTCACTGGCGGCCATATGAATGGCCACTCTCGTTTCTGATTGGTCGAAACCCTCTAAATAAATCTCAATATTCGGTTAAATTTCATATTTTCACCGGGTGTGACGTCATACTAAGGGATATTGATTTTTTTGGATCGAAGTTCGATCAGCTTCGCTTCGGCAGATAACTTGGACCTCGGTTTGAACAATATACACTTAATGTATGCTCCCGAGGGAAACAGTGAGTTTTGTTTTCCCAAGAGTCTGAATGTTTGAAACATTGAGACTTGAGGGAGAACAAAACTCACTATTTCCCGAGGGAGTGCCCATTAAGTGCTTTGTTATAAAAGGAACAAAACATACATGTTGCACAAAAATTGCGGGCAACAATTTTTCACTTGTTTCCGGCCACCATTGCATTTATTTAAAGTCATGTGACTACGAATGAACCAATGACCAACTACATTTAAAATACACAGCACCTATATAACAATTCTTGATATCATGCGAGAGCCAAATCTAATAATTGTATATTCTTTGCCCGCGCACATAAATGTACCTAGTAGGCTAGCTAGTACGTCATGTAGTTCGATTCTTCTCACTCATCAGCTTATGTCTATGAGCTTGTCAACAAAACAATGTTCTTTTCGCTTGACGCTTGTGTTGATGGACTGCACCTACGCAGGCAGGGTAAACAACTGAAAAAAGAGATCTGCAGTAACCTGTTGTACGGACAGAACAAATTCAGCCGAAAAGGCAAAACAAAAGCCAAAGGCGAAGAATAAATCTATTAAAATTGCTGTTCTAGAACTCGGTAGTTCTGCGTTTGTTCGTTCAATTTTAAACTATGTTGGCCCAAACTTTTGTCATCTTTTCACTCTTATAAATTTCAGTTACACTTTGGGGTAAATTTGTACAAAACAGACGTATCGAACAACTGAATCACTCAGAATCTGAGACTCTGAATGTGCAACAACTTGCAAAAATTTAACACAACAATTTTCCCGCCAAAAACTGAGGGGGCGTGCTGCAAGTTACCGACCGCGCAGGAACCAATCAAATGGCTCAATTTTGTGTGGTTCGCCGAAGGTGAGGTGAATATCGCTGAATAAAAACCGAGACGAAGACAATGTTTTTATTTAGCGATATTCACCGAGCATATTAAGGTGATTTTATGCCAATTCAAATAAAACATTTAAGTAAAGCGTTCTACAACGTAGTTTGTAACCTCGAAATAATTTTAGACCTATAAATATTTTCGCTTCTTGGGCATTATTTAGGTACAGTATTTTCTTTAAAATAACGTATTTCTTCATCTGTCACTTAAGCTTTGATATAAACAACCGCCATTTTGAAAAATTCGCCCAGGTGATTGCTGCCATTTTTCTTATACACCTTGTTTAATCGAAATGGGCAACTTTCCTGAACTGATAACCAAATAAGTTTTGTCTTTTTATTAAGAAGTAACCAAGCTGTCATGAATATTTACTCATTAAATGAGATATGCATTGCCTGTTTCTAATGCTGATTGATGTCCAGATATTTCCATTGTTTACTGCCTACAACACTGGGATTGGCATAGACCTACCCATCTCGTATTTAAAACATTGGCTTTATTTCATTACGAACAATAATACACCTAATTTTAAAGTTGCCAGAATTTTGAATTGTGTCAAGTATTACACAACCGACTGCTCGCCCTTGTATGTCATCAATGCTAATTTAAAGCATTGTTAATGAGCATTTAGCTATTACTGATATATGTGTGCCATTATTGTTCAAATAGTCAGCAGGTTTTTTTTGCCGAGTATGCTGTTTCAACATGTTAGCTAATAATAACATACATATATAGACAATCAAACTGAATATTTGCATGGTTCAGGGGCATAGGAGCATCCAGAGATTGGGGGCGCACCAGCTTACAGGGGCATGCACTTTTGGCTAATAAAAAGGGCAGCTGAAGGGCCAATTTTAGGGGGGGGCACATGCCCCTGGTTCCCACGCCACTGGCATGGTTGTCATAGTCTGAAACTGAGATTTGATATTTTCACTTAGTTGTTTAATTTGCAAATATTTCAGTTTCTGCACATGTGTAGCAACCAAATTTATGTCACAAATTGGATGATGAACATTTACGACCCTGCCTGCCAAACTATATTTTGAATTGGTGTGTGCTATGTTTTGCGCAGCAATAATATTTTTATACATGCTTTTGCTGGTTTGTGCAGTAGAACATACTGTATTTATCACTGCTGCTGCTACAGTACATGGTAATATATTGAGGAAGGGCCTTCTAGATTGCACTTATTCCACTCAAAGTATAATTTGCAAGATCAAAAATTGTTGGTTAAAACACTTCCTTCCTTCAAATCAACAACATTCCAACTATTGTTATATACAGTCATTAATTCTAGGGTTGGGAAGTTCTTTACAAAAAGCACAGCATGCATAATTGCACAGCATAAAAACATTATTGGAAAAAATATCACATGCTCTCCTTTCATTTGTCAGCAAAAATTTTGTTTAGAGTGCAATAAATTTGTTTATAAGGAAACTATTTTTATCGAAAAAAGTAAATTAATGCTACAATATTGGTAATGTTTCGATTTATACCGTCAAATGAATTAGCTCATAGGAAAAATTTCCAGTAACATTTTGACTGAACGTTTTAGGAACCCAAAAATAGTTCGTTAACTCAAACAGCATGTTTGCAAACTGCTAACGTAATACGGAAAGGTCTATTGCATAATTCAACACAAATCACGTAAGCTAAGCGAGTATTGTCTTACTAGTATTGCAAAACATGACAAGAATAAATATTCAGCAACAAAGCCAGTTCTATATCACTTCTTAGAACTTACGCATTTGATAAATCACTCGCAACGCGCGAAAATTGCGACATATAACTTCAATAACGTAGCAGTTTATACCTGATAATTGTTACAAATTGACTGATTGTCAATTCCTCTGGGACCAGGAATTTCGTTTTATCGAGTTGTGGTAGATTTTTCTCTTTTTGATACCTCTCCACAATAACCTTTAGAAGAGAAGACTCAGTTAGGAATTAAGATGAGCTAAACTTCGGCCATAAAGCTTGCTTTGTTGTCATGATTTGTCACGTCCAACATCAGGGCTGGGCGAGACAGGTAGACGATAACCATTCGATTCATGACTCGACAAACTTTATATAATATGAAAGAAGGTATATTTACGCTTTCTTTTCATTTTAAGAACCCATCTCTAGTCAATACGATGCAATTTGGATGGCTTCCAGCTATCGTGTTAAACTGCATTATACTTAGACAACCCGGACACTATTTGCACTTTGACATTAACATAGCCAGACAATTTCCCGTTGCAGTAAACATGCAAGTTGTACTCTTGTAGAGACTGCAACTTACTGGTATTTTCGCTGGAAATTTCACACGAATCCCTTGAGCTTCGCTTTGTCTTTCGCCTTGAAAGCAAAAAGTATGTTGAACAAGCTCATGACGTATTTTGGCAAGTCAAAGAAGCACAAAACGTTAGATCGCTTACCGAAGGTCTTCCGCGATTTAAATGGCTTGTGCATTCTCGATTCTCGTTCGCTAAGCAAGTTGACTTTGTCGACATCGATGGTTTGGCTCGTTTTGACCGCTCGTCCCATTTCTTCCATGCAATGTGAAGCTTACAAGATAAACTATCGGTTTTTACAAATTCAAGTCCAAACACAGTAAAGTCTTCACGACATATGACTCGACAATGGTACGACAAGTTGTTGCAAGAGTTCCGAGTTCAATGAACGGAAATGATGTCATATTTAATCATTATAATGCGATTGTTCAATTGCGAAACCGCAAAATATTAGGTGATTTTCGTATATCCGTAGTTGTGGTTGTTTATTGATGATGCCTCTGAATTTCTGTCCACATTCGACAGAATGCGCGCAATCGAAATGACGGGGGAAATGCGCAAAAATCAGGCAAATTGCTGCATGAAATTTCACTGGCTATAGCGTCTATTTTGCAAGCTGTCGTGCGGCTGTTCCCTGCGGTGGGCTACATTCGTGTGCCAGCATTGTTTAGTATTGTTCAGGGGATTGCTAATGATTTTTAATGATGTCTAATGACTTGCGGTTTGAAAACAAATAATTATTGCAGCATTGAAAAGTGACACCTGGAAAACATGAAAAGAATAACAGTTTCTTCTGTAACGACTAAAGCGTAGGACTCGCTGTCCATTTTTTTAAGGCTTGTATCAGCTTCAAATTGAAATCGCTTTCACTGCAGAGTCGAACTTGTTTTGGCTCGGTCAGGATGTGGGTTGGGTTGTCAACAAGACACTCAAAGGGTTGCGGTCTCGGGCGGTTAGTGCTTTGTATTTTTATTGGCCATTTTCTTTGTTAGTTTAGTTAAAGTGAGCCCTAATATTAGCGTGCAAAATTACAGAGCAATATCTCACACGTTTCTATAAATTGGGATCGATTGTAGAGAAGTAGTTCCCTTTAGCTATAGTTAGGGCACGTATTTGACCAATAAAAATCGTGTATTTTGGTGTAGCTACACAAAATCTATAGTCTGGATTGTTATACAACCGGCCTCTGGTGTCTACGCTGTTCCGTGTTTAGTCAGCAATACGCCTTTTCCGAGTGCTCAAATCGATGCCATGTTGCCACCAGTTTTGTCGCCTTGGTGACTAAGTCTTGCATAGGCTGATTAGGCCATAGGCTCATTATGTTTTCTCCACTCAGCAAGATGACTCAAGATGAACAAGATGTTTCCTATGCGATGTTTGTTAGAAACGCACAAGTTGTCAGTTAACTTCGACATTAATTCCTTTCAACGAAAAGGATTGAACATTTTGTGGAGCACTCCACACAGTTATCATAACATTGGCATTATTGTTGACAATAATCAAATGTGCGGTCGGGACTCAACACAGCATTTTTTTCTTATGCACTCAATTATATTAATTTAAAGCGGAACAACTTAAACGATAAGCGTGGAAAAAAATAATAAAAAATTGTTTTTGCAATATGAACTAATACTAAAACGCTTTCTTTCGGTACATCAATCCTATATATAGATAACTAGGGGCCAGTTGTATATAAAAGACTATTTAACTTTTAACTGTAGTTAAGGACAGAGTTGGCCAATCAGAGTTGTGTATTTCTGAGTTAACTAGGATTTAACTATGCAAAATGTAGTTAAAGACTTTTATACAACTGGCCCTAGAAGGCAAGACGTATTCTGCATGGATTGTCTAAGATTTCACTCTTTGGCCTAGATCAAATGGGAAATGATCATTTTGGCCACGGAATAAAAACATTGAACTTTGATCGCAGGATATTCTCATCGAATGTTTGCCAAGAGTTTGTGACATATCACATTTCATCGACAAAGCCCATGAAATAAACGTGCTAATAAACACGCCTATATTTTCCACCGCTGCACCTGCTCTCAAAGCTTCCTCAAGGTGCGGTCTGTGCTTGTAAGCTTGCATTTTAATCTAAAGACGCGCTTTAATGTTATTACTACAGCTGTTTCACTGCACGAATTCTGTACGTGCACGTAATTTTCATGATTTAAAAAAAATAAAATCCGAAGCTCCGGTTTGAAATATGATTAACGAGCGAGTATAAATGCTATGTCAACAATAGAAGTGCATGGATGAACTAGAACATTTTCCTGTTTTCCGATCAAAACTCAAATTCCTGTCAAATACATGAAGCAAACAAACTTTAAGTTTAAGGTGCAACCCAGTTGTTGTAATTTTAGTGTTTGTCGTTTCGTGTTACGTGATTAAAGTCACACGCATCGGAAAAAGGCGAAATATGACTTATTTGCATATGCAACATTGCACGGGAAATTTAAGGTCATGTTATGATATAGTGATACGAACACATGATAAAGTTGCATAGGCAAATTCTTGAACAACATTGTAAGTGCATTATATTCAATCGAACTACAGTGAGTGATTTCATAATATCCTTCGCTCAAGCATCCTCACGAGATATTCCCATCATTAAAATATGTAAACCTTTTGTAAAATGGCACAGCTTATGGTATATTTGATGAAAATAACACTAAAAGCATATTGCAAAATGAAGATTATAGAGCATACTTTTGATACCATATACTGTGGTGAAAAGCTAACCTGAGAAGATGTAAATAAAGTATTAACAACGAGTCAACAAAGTCTAAGGACTGGTTGGAATCAAACATAAGTATTAGGATAGCGGAAATAATGCTAATTGTTAACTATGAGAGCAAGCAAGCAAGCATGCATATTTGCAGAAGACCCAAAGACAAGCTGACGCCCACTCACCACTGTGTTAATAAAGCACCGCTTTGACGTCACTTGATGGTAAATGTTTTGCGGTTAGGGTATGACCTTTGCATGACAAGGCAAAACAACATCCGCTTAAATGGACTGCACAAGAACATAGTCGTAGACGAGGTCGTAGGTAGACTGTGCACACACTATACGTAGCCCAGTATTATCTGATTTCTTTTGCATGCATAAATGTCACATACATACTATAATATTAATCTAACATATTTGATGAATAGAAAAGTCATATTTCGATATTATAAAAAGAAAATCAAGCAACTGGGAAATCCTGGTAAAGTCTCTGTCTATCTCTGTCTCAACGTGTGGCATTGCGCAAATTAATGAAACGACAATTATAGTTAGTTAAGGTATGATTTTTACCTGGGAACGCGTGATATGAAAAATACACGATGCGTCTTTGTATTCTGTAACCTGACTGTTGAGGTTTGTTAAACAATAGTGGCATAGTTGCAGGTAAAAATACTGTCATGCATGTAGTTTTCCCAGAATGAGTGAGCTATTATCTCCTTGCAAAATACCGGAAGTTGGTTGTTCACGTGTAAGAGCGAGGTTTCATAAGCTGGCTGAAATTGTTGTGAGTATGCCGAATTAAAAAGAAGCACTGGAATCGGTGCATACAACGAATGACTCTTTTATGACCGTTTATTATACTTCTGAATACTGCTGGATTGTATTTTTCATAGGTTTAGCTCAGTTTAGTTGCTGAGTTATCACAACATACACGTCATTGTACCAGGGGTGATGAAAAGCGTCGTCAAGTGACGTCAAATGACGTCAATATGCCCTGGATTTTTGCAGTAGAACTTCAAGCACCTAAAGTGCGAAAACATATCTCATTGCTTATCGAACAGCTGGGTTTTTTACCAGTTGACAGCCACTTGCAAGAACAAAACATATTTTGCCTGAAAAACATCGGCTTTTCTTTTTTGAGATTAAGTGAATCAGTTTGTTCACAAATGACAAATCGCCACACCGACGGCAGACGGAAGCGAAGAGCAAACACGAAAGCTTGTCACAGGCATTAGACATTAGTTAAACGCGATTTGCTGCAGAGTTTAATGCGATGCATATTTTGACAATGTTAAGACGTGGTAATGTAGAGAATGTATAGAATAGTGGGACGACTCCGCACATGTCCCAATGTCCGCAAACATGTTAGTAACTTCGAATATGAACGTATGTTAAGGAACTCAGAACTGCATGATTGAATAACAATCGGTTATGCTCTACCAAGTGCCTGTTGTCAGGTAACTGTGTCCTGAAATACGAATGGTCCTAAGACTATTTTAAATCTTCATTCTATCTTTGAAAACGCGCATGGAAGACGACCTCGCAACCAGTATTTTCACAACAACCTCATTTAGTTGCCATGGACGGTTGTGTTTACATACAATCCCAAAAAGAGCATGCAATCTCACGCGTATCAAATCCTGAGTGGATTAAATCTCACCGCCGGAGATGGACGAAATGTCTTCGGCAGAATCATCACTTCTCAGAATGCCTTCGCTGATCAGACTAACACTCGCGCTCGGTTCGACAGAGGGTAGCGTTAGCTGAATGCGGGCTCGCTCATCTAGCATTTGTTTAGGAGTTACGTCATTAGAAACATCAGCCACGTGATCGATCACGGGATCAGTCCGTGATCCTATGTCGATCTCAGATAACGTTTCCATAGTTATTTGATCCTTGGATTCGGACCCTGGTTCAGGGCTCGAAAAGAATCCTGTTGGCGTACTCACGTGACGTGCTTCTTCCACGTGGACAACACGCGGGAACGCGGTCGTGGGCACTTCGCGATCAGCCGGTGGCGAGTGGGGAACCGTCGCCTTTTTTGGAGTTACCATGATAATGTTTGTATCCCATGTCTACATGCAAAAAGACATGTGATCAAATTAAGTTCACTGCTGTGTTGATTGTAATTGTTGACTTGGAATAGATCAAATACGGATACATCATTTTCCGAAACCTTCAAAAATCAGGCGATTATAGAGTCGCAAAGGAATGCTTACTGAAGTTGCACTGGATTGCTTACAAAATGCAAAACTAGTAAATTAAAATGATTTTGCAAACTGATAATTCAACTAAGGTTACTCCGGAAATGTGGAATATATACTGATCATGACCTTTAAGGCCTTCATACACAAATTGTCGCCATTCTGGCCTTGCCCAATCATAGCGCTTCTATAAACAGTTATACTGTTGCGCACTTTAATGACTTCACTGGTTAGTACGGAACACACTCATTTTACGGAATGTTCACAAACTGGTAGTTTCATAATGGGTCTAAACGTACCTGATTTTGAATCTCGCTAATAGAGCTGCTTTGTTCGCTGGCGTTGTTATTCTCGTCAGAGTCCAAGACTGAAGGACGGTCCAACGCCCGCATCGGAATTGGTTCAATATTCGTTGCCACACCCTGATCGGAGGAGTTGAACTCCCCCGGGGACATCTCATCTTCACCTCGAACTTGTCTTGGAAATCTTTGCGAAACTAGAAAAAGGAACTTTCTATTTAGGAATGTGGAACATCACAGGACATAGAGTATGGCAGGTACATCACCGTGTCATGGCCTCCCACTTGGACAGTAGCTGATAACACAGCAGAGGACACAAACACAGCGATCCGGCTGATTTCCTTGCAGTGAAATATAAGTGAAGTCGTATCTTGGCAAATCTTTGCTCAATTATCTTTAGACCAATATAATTACTTTCAAATAAACCTCGCTCTTACATGAGTGTGGTGGAGATGCCTCTTCAAGTTCACCAACACTTGCGGTATCACCAACAACACGTGGTCTCGTTCGCTGTACTGACTGCCTTATTCTGTTCAGCAGGGTCGATACAACATCACCTACAACTTCTCCTTCACTTTGCTCATTTTGCACAATATTCTAAGTACATTTCAATGAAATAATATACAAGTAACTAAACAGCCGTATTATATAAGACTGAAATTGCCATACGAATCCTTTTTCATACAGCCAGAAGGTCAACACGTGCAATATCATGCATTATATGCAGAGCAAATATCTTTCGTTTACTCAAATTATCGTACCTCAGCAAAGAAGCCCATTCTATGCTGTCCTTCGCTAATGGAGTGGGAATATTCGGACCCACGGCTGGTGCTTTCATCCGAAACATCGTCCAATTTCAACAAGTCATGCACTGCTTGCTTCACGGGATCTTTCCTTTTATCTGTGATCAATAACCAATGGTAACTATGGCACAGTCATATTTCCCGGAACGAGGACAAATATGCATGTACTACCATACTAGGCAGAAATCGTACTGACAGAGCAGTTAAGAAACCAAAAACTAACCACAAATTAAAGAAAACATTTAATGCAATCCAAAAAGAGAGGTGGGAAAAAAAGTGCACCACTATAGTGAGCCTTACTTGAAGCATTGAAAGTGTCGAAGACGTCATCTGGTATTTCATGTAAAGTTGTCATATTTCCTGCAGTGCCTGAAGGCGCAACAAACTCTCCTTCGCTGTACTGACCGACGTGTACGTATGGCTGAAACATAATAAAATACTGATCAAAATGAATGGTCAGATACCTGTCTAATGTTTCGTTTCCAACTTGAGGACTTTGGTTCAGTATAAACCTGTGTTTATTCAAAAATCATAAACAATAACAACTTTCAAAATCCGCATAGCGCCACCTTAACATAATTCTTTCCACTTGTTTCACAGACCTGTAATTGTTCTCCTTCAGATATTTCATCATCAGTTGCGACCGTTCCCATGGTGCTTTGCGTGGAGTAAGTAGTCGTCGTGGCGCTTGATGGACTGTTAGTTATTTTGGTTTCACTCGGTTCAGGCTCCAGCTCGAACTTTATGGCGGGAATGTCGGCATCAGTCTTTTGATCTTCCTCGTCGTCTTCCATCAACGTTTGTCTTGATAAAAAAAGGTGGCAATATAGTTGGATCAATTGAGTGAACAACAAAAAGGTTACTCAATGGTAGCACCGTTCTTTCAACATAGGGCCGGTTATTCAACGAGACAACTAGGGCGCATGGTAAATTGAAGCCATGGAAGTTATAAACCCTTACTCTTTTAGATCTTCTTCATCGAGTTCTTTAGGGCTTTCCTCCGAGGTTTTATCTCGTATGGATACTGTAATCTCCGGTGTTTCCACAGGCGATTTCTCCTCGCTTACGGCCTTCTCTCGTTCGGATTCGTCAGGGGTAACCAGAGACGCAACAGACTGAGGTGGACTTGGCGTAACAACTGGGGTTGCTATGGGACTTTTGTGAACAGAATCCTCAAGTAGTCTAAAAAATATGACATAGTTGGCTGTTCAAGTACAAATTTGTCATATTCAAATCCCGAAGGCCGAAACAAATTCCCAAGGTAGAAATCTCACCCTTCTTCGATCTCGTCACTGAGCTTATTCATGACCATGTGACCGGACGTTACGTCGTTCTTGCCAATGGCTTCATCAGGCGTCGAAGACGACATAGATTCTGGACTTTGAGTTTGCTCCGGTGTGGAGACATGCGTGACGGGATGCGATTCTGGTTGGCTGGCCACACTCGGTGTACGCACAGGGGTCTGAACCCTAGAATAATCTTCAGAGCCCGACTCTGGTTCAGTATAGTCATCGTCGGGCTACAAAAAGGTGGTGTTTCATCAATAGTTTTCAAAATTTGACCTAGCAACATTTTCAATTGTCTCAGGAACATTAAAGTTGCCCCAAAACATTACATATTTAATTTGGAATTATATTTTAAGTGGGAAACCAATATTGATTTAGAAGGTAAAAGAAAGTTATGTGTGTTTTGTACCATATCAAAAAACTGTAAGTGTTTTAACAACTCGAAAACTTATTAAGTTGGTGTGGGTGAATGGATGTACGTTTACCACGGGATTAGAATCGAATTGTTCAATAGAAATATGAAAGTTAGGAAATATTGACGGTCACAATGAACTGGCAGTTTTAGTACCTCTTGTGTGTCGGCTGCTGGAACATGCTCTTGGGGTTTGGGGTATCCAAGCATACTGGCAACTTTCTCTTGTAAAACTTCCATGATGAGATTTCGTACCAGTTCTGTGTCCACTGGAATGCCAGCGTCGACGAATAACTGTAAGCCACGAAGTCCTATGGCGGCTGAAGAGATTGGGAGGAGGTGGGGTATCAGTGGTGAGAAAATTGTCAACTTTAATTGTGGGGTTGATAATGGTTTCTTTGATAATCAACATAACAACAGTACATTACCTGCTGGTTCAGTGTCGCTACTGTCAGCAAGAGATTGAGATGATTCGCTCCTACGCATGCGTGCTGTAGGGTCAGATAGTGGAGGAGTCATGTCACTCACAACTCGAGCCAGCAATTCCTGTTCAATCCTAAGCGAAGCAACGAATTTAATTCTAGTTTAGGTTTCCACTTTTCGTTTTAATTGAAATCTTGACCAAGGGAATCTTTAACCCACCCCAAAACTAGTGTAGAATATTGTATTAGTATTATTATTAGTAATAAAAAATTCTGGTAGTGCATAGAATAAAAAACGATGTGAAAATGGGACGGCTAGTTTTCGAATTCGCCAAAACCTTGGTAATAAACTGGTTTATCATGAATCAAATGAGACATGATGAAGTAGAACGAGGTACATACAGTTCTCTGGCTTTATTTTCCACCGTTTCACTTGGTGCCCTCAAATCATCTGAGGTCCCCTGAAATCCATCATGGTCAAGGACATCAACTGGGACATTTCGCGGGGGAAATGCTGGTCCCTGATACTTCGGTTTGTCCGTTCGATTTTTACCGTGCAGCGATATAAGGCTTCCTCCACCAGGAACACTCGACTATAAGACATGCGAAGAATGCGTTAAAGTAATTTATCCTACGATACCGTTATTTATCCACAATCAATAGCGCCTGTCGATTTGTCCCGCCATGCTAATATTTTTGGGTTAACCGACTGTGAAAACAATAGATTTCTAAAGGCATGAATAATTATATTAACTCGAAATTTACATAGCGGGACAAAATCGTCAGGCTGGCTACGCTACTGTCCACAATATATACCTTCTCGCTTCCTTGATCATCATCAATAGTACCAACATGTTCATAATCTTTAAACTCTTCGTATTCAGATGCGTCTGGTCTTGGCAGTGGATGTGGAATTGGCTACATCAGAACAAACAAACAATTAACATCTTGTGGTTAGAAGTGAAAAGACTTAAAAGAGTTCACTTCTTATTGAGAATTGTGCGGATGATTATACCAGTATTGTTGGCTGGCTAACTTCCTTGGAACTTGCATTGCTGCTAATTTCAGATACGCCTGATGTATCTATGTCAACATTTGGTAATATCTAGAGAAATAAAGCAACTTTACCAGAAACCAGCATACACAAAGCATGGATCAACAAATGAGGGATTAAATTCCTAGAAATCTTGAGTAATTTTCACATTGTGTTTTCCTAAATTACCGGCTGACAGTGGTTTTAAGATTCAGCATTACCTGTTTCTCCAAAGTAAGTCGCTCTCGTTTCTTTGGAATGGATTCTTTCTGTCTTTTGACACCGGAATCCGGAGTCTGAAGAAACTCGTCGTCTTTCAACGTTATGACTGCGACGTTAGGTCGTTTCACATTGGTGCTGACTGTCACAGTCTGTGGTAACCTCGACACCTCTATCAAGATGTTAAACGGAAACGAATAAAGAATTTTACAGACCCTTGAAACGCAGAATACTCGATAACACCTGTCTTCATGTGAGAAAGGTGGTTGCTTAATAGGAATTTTAATACCTATTGAAGTTTCGTATTAATACAGCTCATAAAATACATGTTTTTCAAATGAACCAGGACATGAATAACATGAAAATCAGGGTTTGAATAAAAAGCTAAGCCAAACCAGGCCTCCGAACTCATTAATTAAGTGAAGAAAATCCATGTGGGAAGTGGACCAATCACTCCAAATGCGAAGTTACAAGAAATTTATAAACGAATTGTTGCTATAGTTTAGAAAACAGAAGTCTTGACGCAATTTGCACAACAACAGGATATCAACTAGATAACATGCCCTTGTATGGAAATTCATCCAACGTCAAATGCCTACCTTCGTTGGTGCACAGGGGCAGCCGTAGAGCTGGATCCATTCTTGGTTTACCAAGTGGGATAGCTATGGGAAGAAGTTGTCCAGGTAAGGGTCCTTGGTTCTCCCTGAAGTGAGCCTCGATCACCGACTGGTCAGCACCTGCATTCGGTTGAAAGTAGTACCTAGGTTTTGCCGCGCGGCTGGTCGGAGGGCGATAATCTTCGGACAAGGTGGATGAGCTTGATTCGTCTAATCTGTGCAGCAAAAATACGAAATACTTATTCAACAGAAATATCAGTGCAGTTGGTAGGCTTTGGTAGGTAATCAGTCAGGTAATCAGTTTTAATATATTTCAGCTTTATTACGCCCAGGGCATTGGTGGACCTAGCATGGTTCTTAAAGATAGGAGGTGGTCTGTTTGAGCCTGCGGATTTTTGTACACAGATAGACTGAACTAGGATAGATTCGGATAATAACCTTGGCGGACTGCGGATCTTGTGCTTCATAGGTGCAGCGCTCCGTCTCAGTTTCACCGCTTCGCTGGACTTGTAGCGAGCCCGATCTGTTTGAGTCGTTGTTCTACCTGTCACGTGATCAGGACGACCGTGAACACGTGACGCATACGTGACATCTTCGAAAGGACGCTTTACTGCCGGTTGTTTAGCGGTAGGTTTGGAGATCTAGCGAAAAACATTAATGTCTTTGAGCGTGAATGCCAGCAACTGGGATTACTGTGCTGTCCACTCTGGCGAAAATTATGTGAATATGATCACAAAAAAGATGTTCAATTCCAAAAAGGTTTATAAAAAAACTTTGATCTTTAGTTATAAAGTCGCAGAACAAACTATTGTGGCAGCCATCATCATATGCATATGGTTTCATTATGGTGAATACTACAACAAAAATGTTGCGAAAAATACCTTTGGTTTTGCAGCGGTTCTACCCCGACTTGGTGCATTTTCTTTGCCAACATTTCGTAACTTGGCTCGTTTCTCTGTGCTCACAGGAACGCCGCGGGTTGACCGTGGGCCTTGCTTGGGAATCTTTGATTTGTCTTGTGAAACCTGGTTTTCCAAAGCACGCTGTTGTTCTTCCAGCAATAGTTCAGCCTAAAGTTTAAAGTATGGTTGAAATAATGATGTTCGATCGCTGCCTAAAACATCTTTCCAAATTGCAGGTGGTCTTGTACAACTTGTTGTACTCATATCATATTTTAGCCAATCAGCTACAGGGCAGCATACCTGGACTGCTGCATCAATTTCTTCGATTCTCTTTGCTACATCGTTGCGAATTCTCAAAGCATCGCCGTTTGTTCTATGGAAGTCACAAATGAAAATTGCGTTTCAATTTATGGATTGAATTCTAAGATACAAAATGTCGCTTCCCACAAGAACAATATCAGGTTGAAAAGCACTTACCCATCGTCTTCCACCAAATTGTAAAGATACTGTTCGTCATGTCGCCTTGACAACGCCATCAGGTTCCACTCCAAATTCTCCCTCTGCTTTTGAACATCTCGTAGGACGGAATGAGCATGCGCACAAAGGCCTTGCTCTTGCACGGCTGTTTCTCGCTCTAAAATAAACGATGGCGATTTAGGTGAAAAAATTAGGTTTGCAAAAACAGAACGCAGGTTTTCCAGTGCGCGTTTTCTAATGAGAACCTACAAAGAAGCAACCTATAATTTGTGTGTACAATTATTCCCATCATTTTGTATTTTTCTCTATAGCCTAGCTGTCGATGCAAAGATGAATAAAATTGTTGGACGAACTTGGTTTAGTTTGAACATCTCCTTCCACTTTTGGAGTTGAAAGTTCTTCAGGGACATCTCGAGTCGCACGCTACAAAGAAAACAGAATAAATCCACATGGAAGTTCGTGAATGGTAAAAATGAGCGAGGTGCTTGAATGGTGATCAAAATAAAAGCTACCATGCACTTACCAAATATGCATCAAGTGGGTAAGGTCTAGTGTGATCTGGTAGGGTAACGCTAACACTTTCATCAGAAGATATCTAGTTATAGCGAGGTAAAGAGCATTAAGTTCGATTTTATACTGATGTGAATACGTACAAAATTGGTATTTTGAAATTTGGCTATTGGGGAGTTTGCAGTTGATAGATGAGTGGCATACTAAGTACTTGCAAGGTACAGGACTAATATTTCAATTTTTATATAACCAGGAAGCAGTTTCGACTTTCTTTCATCTGGTTTCGCCATGAGAGTAGCTCCGATACTAACCACCTGATGAAGGCCTTAGGGTCGAAACGTCGAGAAGTGTTCTTTTTATTTTTGGCAGTTGTGATACCTCATTTAATGTGAATTTTTTTAGCAGAGGAAAGTGGTGGTTCTGTCAGGAATTCGTCGCTTGTTGACGTGGTTCATACAAATGCAAATGCAGTATTTTTTTTACCTGTGAATGAATTCGGTCGTCTAAATTTTTCAAACTCTGTTTTGTCTGTTCAGTCTCCTAGAAAATATTAAGCAAGGGGGGCATGGTAAAGACCTTTCTTTCGACAGGTCCAAAATGAACAGGGTAAAAAAAAAGAGAAGAATGAACAGAATGTACGTTGAGAGCATCTCTGAGTTCTTGACGTAATCGGCTGATGTCATTCACAATGTGATCGCTCTCTGGTGATCTAGTTACTGGCAACGGCCTCTGTCTGCAAAGGATGGGATAAAGTGGCAATTAAAGAATGGATAATAACATAAAAGGCTTCCATTTAATTGATCGACCGCTGAAGAAACAAATCATGTTAAATCTCATTTCTTTCGAAATGTTTCAAATTTGTTTAATGTTCTGAGGCAAAGTATTTAGTGCTTTAAAAAATACTTTATTTAGGTGGAAAAAGTACGGCCAGATCGGTCCTGTTGTATTTCAGTACAGACAGATGACTGGTATTTTAGAGTGTTTCAAAATCTCTGCATTCAAGTGTATCGTTTTTTTACATCTGTCTAGCACGGAGAATGCAGTTTCACCGCATTTCAATTCAAAATATGACCGGTTTGACCATTTTTGCCGCCTTAAAGGAAAACGCCCTTAGAATCCTAAGATTTTCTTTCTATAGCTGAGGTGTGGATTTCCGGGCGTTCATATATTCCCAGACAAACATTAATTTAAAGCTGGAAGCATGTATTGGTTGAGGTGAGTTTCAAACATACGAGCAAATATTTAAGCACCGCTGCGCATACAAATAACCAAATTACCCTCGAACAACTTCCTAGGTTTCATATCGAAAGAGTAAGACGAATACAATCGATCGTAATCGTTCAATATTATGGGAATGCTTTTTTTCAACAATTGTGAAGTTTAAACTAGTGTGATACTTTTATGAAAAAAAGCCTTGATAAATATTGTACGTTGTGCTTGGCATTCTAACAAGTGCTCCCATTTCAAGAGATTTGTTAGTATATTTACAAGACATTTACAGTATGAATCGTCAGGTGACATTTATGAATAGTCAGTATGACATTTATAGACATTTACAATATGAATAGTCAATATGACATTTATAGACATTTACAATATGACTAGTCAGTATTACATTTATAGACATTTACAATATGAATAATCAGTATATTACATTTATAGACATGCATTTACAATATAAATCATCAGTATGACATTTATAGACATTTACAATATGAATAGTCATGCAGTATGACATTTATAGACATTTACAATATGAATAGTCAGTATGACATTTAAAGACATTTACAATATGAATAGTCAGTATTACATTTATAGACATTTACAATATGAATAATCAGTATTACATTTATAGGCATGCATTTACAATATAAATCATCAGTATGACATTTATAGACATTTACAATATGAATAGTCATGCAGTATGACATTTATAGACATTTACAATATGAATAGTCAGTATGACATTTAAAGACATTTACAATATGAATAGTCATGCAGTATGACATTTATAGACATTTACAATATGAATAGTCAGTATGACTCGTATGGATAAGGAGCTTCCGGATATCGGTTCATGGAAAAGAAAAAAAACTTTATCGACCATAAGCCTTTGAAAGAGGATCTTGATATTGTTCTCTTTATCGAGAGCCATCTCACAAAACAGTAACCGGGTGTGGTCGAGAATAGAAAATTATTTCCAACGTTTTCCGCTTCTACAAGTGATGAGATCATCAGTTGACTACGACAGCATCCTGTTATTGCAATATTTTGTGTGCTGGTGATTGCTAATCTGTACACTAAGCTATAATTCTTCGCGAGGAGGAAGTCCGCCCGCCAGCGCATTTGGTAAAATAAGTAGAGTAGAATCATGGGTGAAATGAAATTAAACGGTAGAGAATTGTCTGTTACAAACGCGCACCGACGGCGCACGCGCAAGCAAGAGGCAAATGCAATTTCTTTCAGGAAGGTGGACTGACTATTTGTCACCAGGAGCCAACGTCCTCGAGGAGATTGGCAGGACAGTAAAATTGAGAGGGAATTGCTATCCTAACAGGTCAAATACTGTAGGTTATAAAAGGCAGTAAAGATTTAGAATGCCCGAGACTAGAATAAATTTACTAAATCCATCACATTTGCTCCAACCGTTGACGAGTGAACCCTGGATCGTGTTAACAAATCCTGAAATATCTTCTAATTCATAAGAATTATTTACTATGCATACGGTAGTATATGCATACGTATGAAAATGCAGCTTCTTTTCTTTCATAAGCAATATCCACACCACTCCTAATTTGAGCACCTGCAAGCATCTTATGGCCATTAGACTAATACTACTTCAAAAAGCATGCATTAATTGGTAAGAATAGAATATGTTTGAAGAATTTTAAAGCAATTTTTCTTACGTACGAAGTAAATCATATTAACTCAAAATTTGCATTTGGTTTTACCTCAATAGCAGGGTGTTAAAAAACAGGGCTAAAAATCTACAATGGAACTGAATGAAGTGTACTAGTCTTCAATGATCAGCCGACGTGACCCCAAGCAAATGGGGCTTAACCTTGTCGTAATACAGGCATCGATCCTTACGCTATCTGTCAAGCGTGTGCCATACTAAATTCAATATAGGAAGTTCTATCCAGTTGTGCTTATAATTTCAGATCAGTGTTAACAACTGAAATCCATCTGTCCCACGGATGCCACGAAAAGAATGATCTGTTTTCGTAAAATGAAATAATATACATACAAAATGACATAACGCACGTTGCTCCTCCCTAAAGAGGAAGCATTAAAACGAAGATCGAGGATTTATTTGGCAGATGTTTCCTTGGTATTTTGACAGGATTACCAAGAAACGTTTCGCACAGGGGTGTTTGAAATGAAGTGCCGAAATACGAATGGGAAATCCGTTCAGGGTTCAATTCTGCGCGGCTTCTTAATAAGATGAATGTTGAACACGTCTTTCAACAGAGCCTAACGTTCAAAATCAGACGTGAGAAATGAATTGCAACATGCATTGTTTCTGATTGTGAAGACAAAAATTCCCCATACCCAGTGAATTCTATTACAACGATCGATAGCAAGGTTATTTACCTAAAATACTACGGAAGCAAAACTTGTGTTTGAACTAAGAGCTGCGATTTTCGTGGTGTGAAATGTCATTCGAGTCTTTGGCCCACTGGGTGTCTCAAGGATGCTAACCTTTTGAGATGTCCCTGGTGCGATAACTAAGGCGTGTGTGAATATACAATGGAGCTGAATTTTACCCAACTAGCGCACAAAACGTTGACAATAGATAAACAGCCGAATTCAAAAATTAAAAAAGCCCTTTTCGTAATAGACCAGGGATTATGACACACCTTACAGCTGCCTCAGATTTCCTAGCCCAGTAAAACTAAGCTTGATTGCATTTATAACACGGAGTTTCCTCTAAAACAAGCTGTATAATATTTTTTGGAAGTGTTAGGACAGATCGATCTCTCCGGCAAAACGCTGAAAATACGTCTAGCTCCCACCCCCCTATCCAATGCTATCCAATGCTATGTCTTGCTTGTTATTACATTCTAATGGAATGAGAGGGGGTGGGACGGTGGGGGAACTTGAGTGTTGAAACATTATTCAAGGGAGTTAATGCTTTGGTATTGGTCATTTTCTACAATCTCGGCAACTTTTGAATTATTCATCAAGAAAGCTGTCATTTTTCGTATGTTTGTATGCGTGCACAAGGTTAATTATTTTAATCGAATAGACGCTGTCTTCACTTCAAACCATGATTTAATTAGAATAAGATTCGAAAGCCTGCCTCTTCTGAAGAACTCAACAACTCTGCTATTGCGCGAGAGACCTTGTCTGACATTCGCTTCACGGATAGTAATCTTATTTTAACCTATCGCGATCATGCGGTGGTGAAGACTAATTAATGGCTTAAATGTGGCTTATCAATTAGTACGAATTCCTGCATGTGCGTGGTTACAGAGGTTAGTAATGCCACGTACAATATGGTTCATATATACCACAGACGTCATCAAGCAAGCCCTTTTTTTTCTGTTCCATCGAAAAAAAATCGCTTTGTGCAAAACCGCCGCAACATAATTCTGTTGTGCATGTGCTTTGTAAAACCTTTATCATATTCTCATGCATTGGAGTAAACAGTTTATATCGTAAGCAGAACGTAAGCAGTTTATATGAACGACTATATGTACCACAGCTAAACATAACAGGTTAATTGTCCTTTTAATGGGATCATTATATATATATATATATATATATATATATATATATATATATATATATATATATATATATATATATACAGCCTTTGAAACCGCGCTGTCTCGGTATATGATTGGAGAAATTCCGAACAATAAAAAAATGGGCGGAAATCTTTAGGTATAGAAATCTTCAAAATCTTCACCGAACGCTGAGAAAATCACCCCCATGTATAACCCCATGCATATTTTGAATATTTTGATCGAAAATCTCGTATAAGTATTCCATGCAGAAATAAACCTCTCAATTTCCTCTTTAGAGTGTACAAACGCAAATCTCATCGAACTCAGAAACAACATCTGTTTTGAAGTACTTTATTTACGTGGATGCATGCTAGAGATTAGATACGAAATTAGTGAGGAAATTCGTTTATGATAAATTATCACTGTTTTGGGTTTCATCTGTATTATGTAACGTAATACTAATGTACCGATTAATAAAGCTAGTCATTTTCGTACATTTGTTGTATAACTTGTTGGATAAAATATATAATTATTAGTTTACCATGCACTCCGCCAGTAATCCACTAATTGGATAAGGTGATATACATGGAGCTTTAATTAAGCCTTACTTAGGCCCCCTTTACACGAGCCCGGGCTGGCTGCCAACCCGGGTTGGCTCACCAACCCGGGTCAACCCGTCTGCGAATAAATTACTAGTTGCGTTTACACGATAGCCGGGTTGGGACTTCACACCTCGCCAACCCGGGTAACCCTTCTCGAGACCCGGGTTGACCCGGGTTGGCTAGGTGTAAAGGTGTGAAAATTGTGCTAAATTCCTCATGTAAACACGGGTTGGCTTGACCCGGGCTCGTATAAACTGCGACATATGGACTTTGGAAGCAATTATCCTGTCACACGCGCATATCATATTGCATTGAGCGCGCGTAACTTCTCTCCGCTAGTATGGCAAGCAAAAGTAAAACCGGACAAAAATGTCTCAAAAAACCCGCAACAGCTCAGT